AAGGACTGCTGGAGGGCGCCTTGGCTGAGCGACAGTGCCAGTGCTGGGAAAGCGCTTACTGTTTAGCCAGCTAGGGAAGGAGACGTCCAAAATAACTGAGACGTCTCCTTCCTTGGAGGAGTCAGGGGAAAACTCCGCTTCTCCAAGCTCTTGTGGTAGGTCTGACGCTGTCAGATAGTAGGCCCACAGACATCCAGGGGCCTAATTATCTCTGTGTGATGCTGTGCTTCAGTGGCCACGTTCCATGTCAATCTCATGTTCCGCTCCTGCACCTGTTTTCTTTTTTCTTAGAAGAGATCATCAGGGCCGGGCGCGATGGCTCAAGCCTGTAATCCCAGCACTTTGGGAGGCCGAGGCGGGTGGATCACGAGGTCAAGAGATCGAGACCATCCTGGTCAACACGGTGAAACCCCGTCTCTACTAAAAATACAAAAAATCAGCTGGGCATGGTGGTGCGTGCCTGTAACCCCAGCTACTCAGGAGGCTGAGGCAGGAGAATTGCCTGAACCCAGGAGGCGGAGGTTGTGGTGAGCCGAGATCGCGCCATTGCACTCCAGCCTGGGCAACAAGAGCGAAACTCCGTCTCAAAAAAAAAAAAAAAAAAAAAGAAGAGATCATCAGTAAAAGTAACATAAATCTTAATGTCTGGTTCTTTCTTAAGTACAGAAAAGTGCTGCTGCACTAGACTCCTCACCTCATCTCGGCTGCTGAAAATTCCTGAGCCCCTACCTGTATGACACGTGATGTACTTGACCCTATCACTGCCATGCCCTGCCCCCAGGCACTGACCAACAAGGCCACGCCCTACTGACACCCTACCTTCCCTGTCCCCAGCTGTGTACTCAAAGTCAGAATGTGCTGACACTCGGGGCCACTGGAGGACTCCGAGATTTGGTTGGCAGTGGACCCCCGCGCCCGAACTCTCTTTTCTCTATCTCTGTGCCTTGTGTCTTTGGTCTCCACGCCAGCAGAGAGGGGCTCACAGAACCCTGTAGGACTGGACCCAATGTGACTATTTGGAGATGGGGCCTGTGAGCTGATAAAGGTTAAATGAGGTTACTTGATGTGAATCTGCCCTCTTTTTTTTTTTTTTTTGAGACAGAGTTTCGCCCTTGTTACCCAGGCTGGAGTGCAATGGCGCGATCTCGGCTCACCGCAACCTCCGCCTCCTGGGTTCAGGTAATTCTCCTGCCTCAGCCTCCTGAGTAGCTGGGATTACAGGCACGCGCCACCATGCCCAGCTAATTTTTTGTATTTTTAGTAGAGACGGGGTTTCCCCATGTTGACCAGGATGGTCTGAATCTCTTGACCTCGTGATCCACCCGCCTCAGCCTCCCAAAGTGCTGGGATTACAGGCGTGAGCCACCGCACCCGGCCAAATCTGCCCTCTTAAGAGGGGACATAGAGACAGAGTCCTCCCTCTCTACCATGTGGCGGCAGAGCAAGAAAGTGCCATCTGCAAGCTAAGGAGAGAGCCCTCACCAGGAACTCAATCTGCCAGGACCTTCATCTTGGACTTCCCAGCCTCTGGAACCATGAAAATACATTTCTGACCAGGCACAGTGGCTCACGCCCGTAATCATTAACACTGTGGGAGGCTGAGGCAGGCGGACTGCCGGAGCTCTGGAGTTTGAGACCAGCCTGGGCAACATGGTAAAACCCTATCTCTACTAAAATAGAAAAAATTAGCTGGGCATGGTGGTGTGTCCCTGTAGTTCCAATTACTTGGGAGGCTGAGGTAGGAGAATTGCTTGAACCTGGGAGATGGAGGTTGCAGTAAGCGGAGATCATGCCACTGCACTCCAGCCCGGGTGACAGAGCAAGACTCTGACTCAAAAAAATAAATAAATAAAATAAAATAAATGTCTGGTGCTTAAGCCACCCAGAATGCAGTACCTTATGATGGCAGTATGAACAGACTAGTACAATAATCTTTAAGCTTGTGCTGGCAACATTATTTATAAATTCACTAAGATCATTCCTATTAAGGAAAAGACAGGCCAGGCAATCCCAGTACTTTGGGAGGCTGAAGCGGGTTGATCACGATATCAGGAGTTTAAGACCAGCCTGGCCGAGATGCTGAAACCTTGTCTCTACTAAAAAAAAAAAAAAAAAAAAAATTAGCCGGACATGGTGGCAGGTGCCTGTAATCCCAGCTACATGGGAGGCTGAGGCAGGGAATTGCTTGAACCCGGGAGGAGGAGGTTGCAGTGAGCCGAGTTCACACCACTGCACTCCAGCCTGGGTCACAGAACAAGACTCCATCTCAAAAAAAAAAAAGGGAAAAGATAAACTCAATGACTTATTTTTGCTCCTTGTCTTAACATGTATGTCCTAACATGTAATAACATGTACGTTTCAATAACAATAGCCAACATTAAGTGCTAACTCTAAAGTTCCCTCTAAACAGTTCGTGTATAATCTCATTAATTTCTCAGACTAACTATGAAATAGATACAAAGGCACAGAAAGATATGCTGTTAGCCCGAAGTTATGTGTTGACGGGTTTGTCAACACACATAATTTATCTCTAGAGTCTGCTCTTCACCAAACCTCCTAGTCTATCAGGTAAGGACAAAGGGAAAAATCCTCAAATGCTTCCTCTTGTCTTAAAGGAATAACTTTGATATCTTGTAATGATATCTAAATACCTTAAAGACGGGGTTTCACCGTGTTGGTCAGGCTGGTCTTGAACTCCTGACCTCAGGTGATCCTCCCGCCTTGGCCTCCAAAGTGCTTGGATTACAGGCGTGAGCCACCATGCCCAGCCTCTAAATGATTTCAAAGTTGTAAAACAAACTTTAACTTGATACTGGAATTTAAGACTGCCAAATCTCCGAAAAAAACAAAACCAGGTTGGACACAGTGGTTCACGCCTGTAATCCCAGCACTTTGGGAGGCCGAAACACATGAATCGCTTGAGCTCAGTTGTTCAAGACCAGCCTGGGCAACATGGCAAAACTTCGTCTCTACTGAAAATACAAAAATTAGCCAGGCATGGTGGCGTACGCCTGTAGTCCCAGCTACGCCACAGGCTGAGGCAGGAGAATCACTTCAACTGGGAGGCAGAGGTTGCAGTGAGCTGAGACTACACCACTGCACCCCAGCCTGGGTGACAGAGCAAGACTGTATCGAAAAACAAACCAAACAAAAAACAAAAAACATTTCATGCTGTGGGTAAAGGAAAAAACAAAAAACAAAAAACAAAACAGATGCAAGCATATTGTAAGGGGTAAAATTAACCAAAAAAAAAAAAAAAAAAAAAAAGGCTTCTAAACAGCAAATATTTCCCATCCTCACTCCTTTTTAAAGCATAAAGTCAGGCTGGTTGCGGTGCCTCACACCTGTAATACCGGCACTTTGATAGGCCAAGGCAGGTGGATCACCTGAGGTTGTGAGTTTGAGACCATCCTGACCAACACGGAGAAACCCCGTTTCTACTAAAAATACAAAATTAGCCGGACTTGGTAGGGCATGCCTACAATCCCAGCTACTTGGAAGGCTGAGGCAGGAGCATCACTTGAACCCAGAAGGGGAGGTTGCCGTGAGCCGAGATCGCGCCCCTGGGCAACAAAAGTGAAACTCCATCTCAAAAAAAAAAAAGGTATAATGTCAGAATGCTAATTTATTAATTTTCAAAGTAAACGTTTTTGTTGACATGACCAGTGCATTTTCCTCCCCGTACAAAGGCTACAGGGGAAATCACACTACCAGATGATCCCTTAGGAGCATGGAGGCAGTGAATGCGGAGGGTGAAGGAACTTCCACCGACTTTGTTCAAGTTCTTACCTTTCCAGGTTCATTAAGTAAATAAATATTTAGGGGCTGCAACTTGAGATCGGTTTTAATGTAGACACTACAGCTGTAAGTTTCCCTCTGAGTACTGCCTTGGCTGCATCCTAAATACCTTTTGGTGTATTGTGATATTGTGCTGTAGCTGGCGTAGAGTTAGAGCCTGAACAACATCATTTTATAAAAGAAAAAGCTGTTTTTTAAAAATAAGTTGTAACGGCTGCCCCATTCTCCTCACAATAACTGCTAGCCTTGGCTAGTGTAAATAAAACTGCTAGTTTGCTCTAGCCACTATGTAAAGCTGCTTACCTTTTATTATCAGTAACTGCCAGAATTGCTAGCCTTTGCTTACCGGCAATTGCCAGACTAAGCAGCCCAAACTAATGCCATCTTGGCCCCTGCGACTTGTAATAAGTAACTAAGGTCTGTGATTTTCCACCTTACCCAGATAATGTGTAAACAAACGTTTATCTTGATTTCTGTAAAAACACTTAAGTAACAAACGGAATGACAAGAGACCCCCTGGCCCCTGGAATATCCGGAGCCCTCGTCTCCACCCAGGAGATGATTTACAGAATCCACTAGCCCTCGGAATGTCTGGAGCCTTTTCATCCCCATCCCCACTCCTCACCCCCACTCCCAAGGTGGTTTTTCGGGTATAAAAAGTCTTGGCACCCTCCTTTCAATGCCACAGGTGGGAGAGACGTGAGTCCTCCGTGGTCGCCGGAATAATAAATGACCCTGCAGTCTGGCATACTTTTGTCTTGGTGCTAACGTTCTACGCTCGGTCCGGTACAACAGTATTCTACTTTTGTTTCATTTGTCTCGAGATACTTTTAAAGGTCCCCTGTGAGGACTTCTCTGACCCATCGGTTGCTTTAAGGGTGGGGTGTTTAATGTCCGCCTATCTGTGAATTTTCCACTTTTCCTTCAGTTACTGATTGCTAATTTCGTTCCACTGCAGTCAGAAAATATACTTCGTACGGCAAGGAACGTGGCAGTGCTGCATTCTGGAGGACACACCAACACAACCAGTTCACAAAGTTGTAACGAGGACCAAATGAACCGCACGACTCACGCGCGCGGACACCCGGGTAAACAGCAGCTCGGACCATCCGGCGAGCACCCCGCAGCCGCGCCCCAGAGGCCCGCCGCCCACGGGTGGCTCAGCCGAGACCGCCCCGCCCCGCCCCGCCCGGGCTCCGCACCTCGTCTCCGCCCGATGGTCCACTCCGGCTTCCTCAGCAGGACGTGCGGCTCGCCCTCCTCGGCGCCCAGGCGCAGGAGCCGCCCCCAGGGCTGCGGCGGCGGCGGCTGCTCGCCTTCCTCGGGCCGCTCCATCGGGATTCACATCTGCGGAGACCCCGGAAACGCGCGTGGAGACTCCCGACCCCAGAGGCCGAGACTCGGCGCACCCCCGCCCCGCGGGCCCGGCCCGGCCGCCCGCGCCCACGCGGCCCCGCGGCCCCCCGGCCCGGCCCGGACGCCGGCGGGCGCCCCCTCCCACGGGCGCAGCCGCGTTCCCTGTCGCCGCCCAACGCAGCGCTCTCGCCAGCCGCGCTCACCCCCGCCCCGCGCCGAACCCGGAACCGGCTGCGCCGCCGCTGTCAACAGACATAGCGGCTCCCTCAGCTGATCCGCGGGGCGGGGCCGGCGGCGTCTGCGCCCCGCGATTGGCTGGCGGCGGCGCCCACCGAGAGCGGCGGCTAGAGCGGCGCCGGGAGTGGCCGGCGAGGGTAGGCGCGCGGGGGCGGCCATCTTTGATCCTGGCCGGGAGACTCCGTCGCCCGCGGATCGCGGAAGCGGCTGCGGTCGGCGCCATGCTACATTGGGGCAGAAGGGACGGCGGACTTCCGTACTGGAAGCCCAGGGGCTTCTGAAAGCCCGGCCGACCTGCAGGTGACTTCTAGAAGCAGGAGAGGGTCCACCTTCGTTGTCACGTGGAGACCCTTTCAGGGGCCATTTCCCTTCGGATCACACGGCCCCGAAGTCTGATGGCCGGGGCGCGCTCCGCGAGTGGGAGCGGCTGCGTTGCGGGCCGGGCGGCCCGGGCCGCGTCTGGGCGGGCGTTCTGCGGGGTCTTCCCATTCTGAACGCGCGTAACCTTTGCCTCAGTGCCCACTTCTTGGACCCCCGCGGCGTTGGCGTGTGTGCTCCAGAGAAGGGCGCCAGAGGGGACTCCCTGAAGGTGAAAGGTGGCGAAAGCGGAGGAAAGACGGCAAGGCGCGTTCCGCGCAGGGGGAGGAGACCCCAAGTGCGGCTTTAAGAGGGCGAAGCGGGGCTGGGCGCGGTGGTTTACGCCTGTAACTTCAGTGCCCTGGGAGGCGTAGGCGGGAGGATCTCTTGAGCCCAGGAGTTCGAAATTAGCCTGAGACCTCATCGCTACCAAAAAAAAAGGTAGGTATCATTTGTGTAAAGCAAACCATATATACACACATATATACACATTTTTTATATCAGTATGGGCATAGTTATCTAGACCTTGTAAACCAAAAATAAAATTCTAAGCCCCCCCCAACCAACTGAAGGAACTGATTCTCTCAACGCCAAAGTTAACCTGAAGAACCAGTTCAGTCCCTGGCGGAAACCAGGGTTTGGACGTGTCCCATTATACTCTCCTCCCTTTGGAATTCAGGTATAACTGACCAGCATCAATATTAAAACAGATACCTTAAGACTGACCAAACCAACTGAGCATTGAGACCTCACATGATAGCAGGTCCTGGAGGAAAACAAAGTATTTCACCCTGACATGTAGACCTACAAAACTGTCTCCTGGGCGAAATCTATTTTGTAGAGAATCTCCTTCCTTTTCCATGTCTTTTCCTGATCCAGGAGAAACTGTAAGAGTCTGGCACCTTTCTAACTCTAGTAAGAAACGTTTATAATATATTCCCTCTGAAGCCTGCTACCTGGAACAGCATCTAAGAACCTTGGCCTGGGTGTTGGCTCATGCCTGTAATCCCAGCACTTTGGGAGGCCGCCAAGAAGTCCAGGCTGCAGTAAACCACAGATTGTGCCACTACAATCCAGCCTGGGCAACAGAGACACTGTCAAATTAAAATTAAATTAAACAGAACCTTGGTCTTCCTTATCTTAACCCAGACATTTTATTAACTCCAGGTCTTTAGCTTACCTCTTTCAACCAAGTTCCAATCAGAAAATCTTTGAATCCATCAAGTTCACAAACGTTCTGGAGGAAGAAAAACAAGAAAAAGAAAAAAAAGATTAAAAAGAAAAGAAAATCTTTGAATCCATCAACGACCTATGTATAAAACCAAACTGTAGCCACACCGTCTCAGGCACAGGGGCTTAGGATCTCTTGGGACTGTGCCTTGGGCCATAATCACTCACTTCTGGCTCAGAATAAACCTCCTCAAATATTATAGAGTTTGACTTTTTTTTTTTTTAGATGAAGTCTTGCTCTGTCACCAGGCTGGAGTGCAATGGCACCATCTCAAGTCACTGCATCCCCTGCCTCCTGGGTTCAAGTGGTTCTCCTGCCTCAGCCTCCAGAGTAGCTGGGATTGGCTTTGTATTCTTAGTAGAGACAGGGTTTCTCCATGTTGGTGAGGCTGGTCTTGAACTCCCAACCCCAGGTAATTCGCCTGTCTCAGCCTCCCAAAGTGCTGGGATTTCAGGCATAAGCCACCACGCCCAGCTGCATTTGACTCTTTTAATTGATAACGTGTACATACAAATATGTTTATGAAAATCTCTCTAGAAGGATACACAAGGAAATGCAGTGGCTTCCTTTGGAACATGCACTTGAAGTCAAGCGGGTAGGAAGACTTGCCTTTCACTATGGATTTGTCTCAGTCTGAGTTCCAGCAGAAAAACAGAACCAGTAGGATGATGGAGAACATGGCACGACCCCGAATGCCAGGAACATGGGCACTTGGTGTATTTCGTTTACTGTGAAGTGAGCTCCTTGATCAGTAGCAATGCCATTGCTACAGGAAAAAGGAGCCCCCGTCCAGACTGCAAGAAAGGGTTCATAGATCTTACACAGGAAAAATTTGAGGGGAGTCACTGAGCACAGTGAAAGAAGCAAGTTTATCGTAATTTACTCTGTTCCAGAGTGGCATCCTCAGAAAGCAGGAGGAGGAACACTGTACAAGAAATGATAAGGAGCTACCATTAAACCTGGGATGTGCAGATGGGCTGACTAAAGGTAGGGCTGTTGGTGCTGTCAATGACCATTAGTCCTTCAACCTCAGCCTGCTCGTTAAGGTTCCCTCTCCGTAAAGTGGGCTGCACTCTTAGGACATCCGGACATTCTGCAGGCTTGGTGGGAGATGTGCTGTATGACCATAAATATTCTGCAATTATAATTGGTGGTCAGTTTACAATGTGGCTACTTTCAGACCGTAGCAATTCACTTTACAGACGCCTTGTAAGAACCCTTTCTTGGAGTCTGGACTGGGACTTCTTTTTCCTGAAGCAACGGCATTGCTTATGATCAAGGAACCCACGTCACAGTAAATGAGGTGCTCCACGGGCCCATGCTCATGGAATTCACGGGTCCTGCAGATTTCTCCATCATCCTACTGGTTCTGCTAGCTACTCACCTTAAGACAGACTCACTCTGGTCATGTTTTATTAAACCAGAGGCCTGGTGAACAGGTTTCTCTAACACTGCAACCATGGATAAGACATTCTGTGCCGGGTGCAGTGGCTCACGCCTGTAATCTCAACACTTTGGGAGGCCGAGGCAGACGGATCACGAGATCAAGAGATCGAGACCAGGCTGACCAACATGATGAAACCCTGTCACTACTACAAATACAAAAATTAGCCAGGGATGGTGGCGCACGCCTGTAGTCCCAGGTACTCCGGAGGCTGAGGCAGGAGAATTGCTTGAACCTGGGAGCCGGAGGTTGCAGTGAGCCGAGACTGCGCCACTGCACTCCAACCTGGCTGGCGCCTGGCAACAGAGCAAGGCTCTGTCTCAAAACAATAATAATAAAAAATTAAATTTTTTTTTTTTTTTTTTTTTCCGAGACGGAGTTTCGCTCTTGTTACCCAGGCTGGAGTGCAATGGCGCGATGTCGGCTCACCGCAACCTCCGCCTCCTGGGTTCAGGCAATTCTCCTGCCTCAGCCTCCTGAGTAGCTGGGATTACAGGCACGCGCCACCATGCCCAGCTAATTTTTTGTAGTTTTAGTAGAGACGGGGTTTCACCATGTTGACCAGGATGGTCTCGATCTCTTGACCTCGTGATCCACCCGCCTCGGCCTCCCAAAGTGCTGGGATTACAGGCTTGAGCCACCGCGCCCGGCTAATAAATTAAATTTAAAAAAAAAATTTTTTTGAGACGGAGTCTCGCTCTGTCACCCAGGCTGTAGTGCAGTGGCGCGATCTCGGCACTGCAACCTCTGATTCCTGGGTTCAAGCGATCCTCCCGCCCCAGCCTCCCGAGTAGCTGGGACTACAGGCGCCCGCCACCACGCCCGGCTAATTTTTGTATTTCTAGTAGAGACGGGGTTTCACCATGTTGGCCAGGCTGGTCTCGATCTCTTGTCGTGATCCGCCAGCCTCGGCCTCCCAAAGTGCGGGGATTACAGGCGGGAGCCACCGCCACAGGCCAAAAAAATTTTTTAAAAGGAAAATAACTCTAGAGACCCCACTCCCGGCGGAGTTCCTCTGGGAAGCGTTTTCCTCAGCGACGGCGCAGCCCCCGGTCACCCCAAACCGCGCTCCTGGCGGTTCCTGGGGAAGCCAAGCTCCCGCACCCGGATGCGCATGCGCGCCACGAAGCCGCAAAGGAACGCTCGGGTGCCCCCTGCCGGCCTCCGGGGGCAGCGCAGGACGCTCCGCTCTTACACGATTTTGGAAATTGAAGGTGAGTTGGAGGGCGGGGCGCGGTGGCTCCTGCCTGTAATTCCAGCACTCTGGGAGGCCAAGGCGGGTAGATCGCCAGGGCAAGAGTTCGAGACCAGTCTGTCCAACATGCTTAAACCCCATCTCTACTAAAAATACAAAAATTAGCTGGGGGTAGTGGTGCATGCCTGTAATTCCAGCTACTCAGGAGCCTGAGGCAAGAGACTTGCTTAAACCTGGGAGACAGGTTGTGGTGAGCTGAGATCTGCCATTGCACTCCACCTGGGCAACAAAAGTGAAACTCCGTCTCAAAAAAAAAAAAAAGAAAGAAAGTGAAGTGGAGCCTCCTCTCCCGTGGCTTGATAGGAGTGGGGAGATAAGAAGCAAAAGTACAAGGCCAATATATTAAGTCAACTGAAACTGGAAAACTTTAAAAGCCTGTCATTTGCAATAAAGCAACAAAAAGAAATCCTTGTATACAAATCTAACAAAATATGAATTATAATATGAACCTATCTGTATCCAGAAAACTGAACACAATTAAAACGTAGTACCAGCACTCAGGAGTCCAGATGAGCCTGGGCAACTCGGCCAAGCCAAACCCTGTTGTTTCTAAAAATACAAAAATAGCCTGGCATGATGGTGTGCCCCTGTGATCCCAGCTACTAGGGAGGCTGAGGTGGAAGGATGGATTGAGCGCTGGAGATGGAGGCTGCTGGGGAAACAGATGGAGACCCTGTCTCAAGAACGGGAAGGAGGGAGCGAGGGAGGGAGGGGAGGGAAGGCAACGAAAGGGAAGAGAGAAAGAAGAGAGAGAGAGAAAAAGGAAAACCTATATAAATGGAGCATGCTCCTTTTTCATTATTGTAGTCACAATATTGCTAAGATGTCACTTCTTCCCAGCTATAAAGTTGGTGCGGCTGCAACAAAAATACCTGCAATTTATTTCG